CTCAACTACTATCTCCCTAAAACAATCTGATTTAAAAAAACTAACTCAAGTCGATGGTGATGCTGATTAGGGAGGAGGGAGAAGATGTAGTCGACAGTGAAGATGAAGGTGGTCGGAGAAGATGACTGAATGCCAAAAACCCAAAAGTTGTATCCAAAATTAACAACTTCGATGATGCTGGATGTCGTCGTCGAAGATAGACGAAGCCATCACCGCCTCTACAAACTTTAGCAAACCTAGATCCTGTGATGAACAGATCCGTTGGTGCAGAATATGATCAGTTTTAGGCTGTGATGGAGGGATAGGGGTGGAGAAGATGAAAATGGTTTTCCGGCTTGTTTTTTCCAGTGCTTCCACCTTCACGATGTTCTTGATTTGATTGGAAATCGATTTTAATGGTTGGTTGAAGCCGATTGGGTTTTCTATTAAGGTTGTTGATCTTTCTTACAATCGGATTTCAAGGGGGAAAACAAATGTTGTCCAGTGGATTATGTTAAATAGGTGTCGTGAGCTTTGTTATTTTTCTTTAAAAAGAAGCAAGGTTTCTTGGTGTTTCTTGATCTATCAAATAGGTTTATTTCATTTTCGTGATTTCTATAGTTTAATAGGAATCAATAAGCCAACATTTAAACATAATGGATCGGTGATGTTTATTAATCTATCCCACATACACAAATCGATTATAGATTTGTTTTCTAGGTTTCTTAGTTCCAGAAATTTTTTTGAAGAACATACGATTTATTCATTTTCTGGGTTTTTTGGTTTTAGATTCGATTTTATGATTTTTTTTGTTTGTTTGTTTAGTTCTAGAATATTTCAGATTTATGAATTTGTTTGTTTTGTATGTGTTTTTTTGAAGAGCTTTAGAACTTATGGTATGTTTTGAATTGTGTTCTTGGTGGAGAGAGAGAGAGAGAGAGAGAGAGAGAGAGAGAGAGAGAGAGAGAGGAGTAATTTTTTTAATCATAAAAATAAATAAATAAATAAATAAAACTAAAAAAGCAAAAAACATGGGTAAAATCGTCATTACAAAAAAGTTTAAAGTAAATTGGACCAAACTCGCAACAAAATGAAAACTTTGGACCTGTGGTGCTAGTCCAAACTTTTTTGGACCAAAGTGACAATTTTCAGCAAACCACAAGGACCATTTGTGCAGTTTAGTCTAAAACAATATATAAGGGTAAATTATTTATATAAGAATATTTCATATGTTTTATTATGAATGGTTTTTATTTAGCTACTTTTTTTTGTGGACAAAGTTTGATTTTGATCAGCCCTGGATCCAGAGGCTGTTAGGCTGTTAGAGAGTTTTGAAGCGGTTTTATTAAAAGGTTTTAGAGAGTGTAAAGTTGACGTAAAATAATATTTTTTGAGCATTGGAGGGTATGAGGATATCTTGAGAACATTAGCCACCCCCGGATGATATGGATGTTGATAATTGGAGGAAAGAAGTCGAGTATTTCCAAACGGATAAACACATAACTGCTTCGGCAAGAAACAAAAAAGTTTGTGAATTGCAAAAGTACACAAACCGTGGGGGTCGAGATCGTATAGAAGTACTTGCTCTAAAAATGTAACGTACAACATATGTAATTATTTATTTCAAATATAATCTAAGTTTTAATGTTAAAACAGAACTGGAAGAGAGTTGATACATTCCACACTACTCATACTGATAAGAATGGTGTATTTGTTAGTGACATAGCCAAGAAACAATATGCAAGTATTTAATTATAATTTTATCATATAATTAAGTGTTTATTTATACTTAATTGTTAATCACATTAGGGAAACACGGAATCAGTTAATACGAGAGCTCTTAGAACAAACACAAGGGTTAAATGAAGAAAGAGATTTATCACTCACTGAAGAAATAGTATGTTTCGAGAAAGTATTACATATCAGAGGCATCAGCCGAAAACCTTTTTCTATCCCGCTGATTATACAACCATCGCAACCACCACTCCAGTCACAACCATCCCATGTAAAACTTGACTATTTAATTTCAAAGTCTCGTATGTCTATATAATGATCAATAAATGCATGTTGATTTCGTAATTATGTTTGTAATTGTGTTTATGTTCCAAGTGCAAGAAATAGCAATGTACTTTGGCTTTTTTTTTTGTCCCAAGTGCAAGAAATAGCAATGTAAGTTGGTATCATTCGATGCATGTTGATTTGGTAATTGTTCTTGTAATTGTATTTTTGTTCCAAGTGCAAGAAATAATAATGTACTTTGGTATTACTTGTATTTAAGGTTCTTTAGCATAAACTAAGTAGAAAGTAAGCTACCATTTCTTGTAAAAGAAGGCTATTTAATATCAAAGTCTTATATATCTATATAATGATCAATAGATGCATGTTGATTTGGTAATTGTGTTTATGTTCCAAGTGCAAGAAATAGTAATGTACTTTGGTTTTATGTCCCTAATTTAAAAATAGCAATGTACTTTGGTATCAATAAATGCATGTTGATTTGGTAATTGTGTTTTTGTTCCAAGTGCAAGAAATAGCAATATACTTTGGTATTTCTTATATTTAAGGTTCTTTAGCACAAAATAAGTAGAAAATAAGCTACCATTTTTTTTTATAAAACTACACTATTTAGTTTCAAAGTCTCATATATCTATATAATGATCAATAAATGCATGTTGATTTGGTCATTGTGTTTGTAATTGTGTTTATGTTCCAAGTGCAAAAAATATCAATGTACTTTGGTTTTTTGTCCCTAGTTTAAAAATAACAATATCCTTTGGCATCAATAAATGCACGTTGATTTGGTAATTGTGTTTATGTCCCTAGTACAAGAAATAGCAATGTACTTTTGGAATTTCTTGTATTTAAGTTCAAGAAGTAGCAATGTATTTTGGTAGTTTTTGTTTATGTTTGATAGTTAAACTTATAAGTTTATATATGTTGTTATTTATTATGTAGTTGAAAAATCTTCATTCAATTCTAAATGACCTAGCGTGTAGGGAGGAACTTTAAGTTTTTTTTTTTCAATCTGGAAAACCAAAAAGTGACGATCAATGAGGAAACGAGGGGAGCGGAGATGATGGTTCATCGGAACATTAGTTTGTGTTTTGTATGTTAGACTTGTTGTGACATAAATTTATAACACTTTTGTTTATTTTGGTATTTGTATATGAAATTATAACACTCTGACGACGATTTTTCTTGTCACTAATGCCTCTTTTTCTTGTAGTGGTTAGCTTTTTATAGGAACATTTTATATGAGATGAAAGGTTTTAAAATACTAATTGGGATGGTATTTTTGTAGGATTGTCAAAAGAGTGCTTTGGCAAGAAAAAGATTGAAAATGGTTGTATATACATACATAGGATATTATGAAATTTTAAAAAGAAAAAAAAAATAGATGGCGAAAAATTGAAAATGCAACAAAGACCATTTTAGTAGGTATGCGATAACCTTTCACAATAATACAAAAGAATTTCTTGTTTCTTCTGGTTTATATTTCAGGGAGCAAAGTAAAATATAATATTAAAAAAGAAAAAAAAAACAACGTATATTCGTATTGTTTATTTGTTTCTTTTCGTACGTTGATTTCCCAATAAATAAGACAATTCTGAATACTCGTTCACAACAAAACTTATTTGCAAGGTCTTGAAGGTATGTCTTCTTCATCTCTCCCTCTCCTTCTCCAACCATCGTCCCCTCTCTCATCTTCTGTTACCGGTCCACCGCCGTCCGCTGTCACTCACTCTTCCCTCCTCTAACAATAAACCCTCACAGCCACACCTCGCCGCTGATAACCCACCGTACACTACCACCGTAAAGCCATAAACACAACCATCAGCTTTGCATATACCACCACTCACTCCGCCTCACTCCATTTCCTCCCTTTCTGTCATGCACCACAATCCCATCGGACACCCCTACCCCGCTGCAGACAAGCTATACCACCCTTCGATTCACAAAACCAAATTCCAGCTCATCCTACCTTTTACCCACCACAACCCTACCTGCCGGAAAATCCCATTTATCTCACCTTAATTTCTGTTCGAACCCTCCCCTCGTCCCCTTTCTCGTCGGAGAACACTAGCTGCTTTCTTTCACCTGCACCACCACCTCAATCTGTGTGTGTGTCCGTCCTACTTTGCTAAAAAAATTCCGAAAATCAAATCCCTGATTTACATTTCGTCTCATGTTTTTTACAAATCCCTTGCTAAATTAACGTTTTAATCCTACATTTTTTTTTTCTTTCACAACTCCTGCAGGTTTGACTCTCACCGGAGCATCATATTGAACAAAGTATTTTGGGCATCAAAACTGGTAAAATTTCATCCTTCTGATTCCATGCTCTTAGATTAACTTTCGTTAGCGATAACTTTGATTCATGAAATTCCCCACAAGTTTTTGTTGAGGATGTTTAATTTACTTTGTTGACTTTTCCTTTCATCTAACACTAAGTTATATAATGTAGTGAGTAATAATAGTTGACTAATGGTTTAAGCTGCAGAACAGGATGGATAATCGTAATGGTTTGGTGATGATAGCTGCATGCATAGCGTTCAACAGTGGGATGTGGCTGCTACGATTCACAGAAGGACTTGCAAACATTGGGAAGACAGATGGGGATTGGGTGTTCATCAATGCGGCCTTGATAGCTCTATGCATCTCCATGAATGTGCTTGTTGTTGAAATGAGTGTGGGAGCCACAATCTGGAAAAAGATGGAGGAGCTTGCAAGGAAAGCCATTCTTATTGCAATCATTGCTATGGCGATTGCTTTTCATCAAATTTTTGTTATGGATGACTTCTGCTCGAGGTTTATGAGTAATGGGTCATTCATTTTGTTCATGGTTCTCGCTTCTGGATTAATCTTCATTCAGTTGATGTCTGCAGGCTATGTAACCAAGTAGAGATGCGACCAAATTAGTATTATATTGAATGATGTCGTCTTTTCTTTTATATTATCTATTGAATATTATTAGTTTGGATATGTGACCAAATTAGTATTATATTCTGTTTAAGTTTTAGGGCAATGTTATGGAATCAACAAGTGAACCTTTTATTTTCTTCCATTTTAGTCAACCAATTACTAAGAAGACCTAGTTTACCAAAACTATGGATGGGTTTCTGTTCGCTACAAGTTACCATCAAGAGTTGAATATTATATATTATCCGTTGTGTTGAATTCTACCTACATGGTTTAAAAAGTGATTTTAATTTTGTCCGCTAACTATATAATCATATGGTTGTCTCAACGCGACAACCATCTTTTGTGCCTATATAGAAGTGGCATGTTATACTATAGTTGTGAAATGCTATGAGCAATGTTTTAAAAACCGGTTTTTTAGTTGGACCGGTATGGCGACCGGTTCCCGGTTCGATCGGTTTCTATAATTTTCATATTTTTTTCTTATTTTTCTACACATATATACATACATAAATCATGAATTTGACATCTCAAACATTAAAAATATACATAAAAATAAGTTGTAGACCAATCTAAATACATTAAAACAACACATAACTATAGGTTTTACATCAATTCACATAAGTCAAAAAGAAAATAAAATATAATACCGAAACAAAATATAGTTTTAGATGAATACAATTCATCATAACATATACCATACGTTTTTATTTAGAGAAATCTAAATAGATGTGAAAAAGTTCACCAATGTTTATTATTGAAAATGATTTTTTTCTATGTATTTTTATTTAGTTTAACCGGTTCAACCGGTTTTTTCTAAAAACCGGCCGGTTCAATCCGGTTTAGAAATTGATGTAAAACCGGTGATAGTTGAACCGCTCCCTTCCTCGGTTTCCGGTTCGACCGGCCGGTTCAAACCGGTTTTTAAAACACTGGCTATGAGAATCACTTCCGCTACTTTGTGGACAATATGAGTTACTTTGGGGGGGGGGGGTAAATGGATTTATTAAAGTAATTAACTTTTCGGTTTGTTCATATCTTTTTTTTGTATACATCTAAGTAATGAACTTTTTTGAAGTGTTCACATATGACCATTATGGCCTGCTGTAGCAGGTTACATCTGGTTATAACCGGTCATAATGGTCATATGTTAACACTTGCTAAAAATTCGTTACCTAAATGTGTACAAAAAAAAAGATAGTTACCCAGATATGAACAAACCGAAAAGGTAAAAGTAAATTATACGAATAGTCCTTGTAGTTTGGGTAATTTGTGTGTTTGGTCCCTAACTTATTTTTTAACTCAGTTAATCCCTACTGTTTTTTTTGTTGTGTGTTTGGTCTCTGTCTTACCTCAAAAGACTATTGTGCCCTTTTTAATTTATTTTCTTATTTATGTATTTATTTTTTATATGTTTAAAAAAAATTAATAGACCCCACATATCTGTATCTTCTCACCCTAAATCTAAAACCACATTTGAGAAATTTAAGCTGGGTTCCACCGGTCACCATCCCATCTCTTATCTTCTTCAAATTCTATTTCTTTCCCATATTTAATGACATTGACGTCTTCGACATCCCTTCTTTTTTCGGTTCCTGAACTCCGACGAACCAACACCGAGGGACATGGACCAACATAGTAGGGATCATCCGAGTTAAAAAAATAAGTTAGGGACCAAACGCACAAATTACTCAAACCACAGGGACCATTCGTGTAATTTACTTTTACCTTTTCGGTTTGTTCACATCTGGGTAACTATCTTTTTTTGTACACATCTAGGTAACGAATTTTTTGGAAGTGTTCACATATGACCATTATGACCGGTTATGATTGAATGTAACCTGCTACACCAGGTCATAATGGTCATATGTGAACACTTTCAAAAAATTCGTTACCTAGATGTGTACAAATAAAGATAATTACCCAGATGTGAACAAACCGAAAAGTTAATTAGCTTAATAAGTCCATTACCCTACTTTGTGGAATACCGATGCTTGTAAGTGGCATATACTGCAAAAACCATGACTAACAAAGGAACTATAATATGAGTTGCCCAGCCTCAACGCAATGGAGTTAGGCCACAGGAGCGCTGCCCCTCATCAACGCCCAATGGAGTCTTGTGTAGAGGACAACATAGCTCAACGCGAAGAAAACAACTCACAACTGTCCATTGACCGTTCCAAATATCAACTTAAAAAAATTCCTATAAATATAATACCCTCTTAATTTTTTTACACACCACTATGTTGAAATATATAAATTCAGTAAACATAACATTTCATACAAAGTGCAAGGTTGTATTGGTAAGTATATATAGGTGAGTATTGTGTTATATTTGTGTATTAGGTAGTTTGTCTAACTGTACAGGAACTATTGAGTGGTTCGCTTCGTTAGTTCAACAAACCAAAACGTGAGCTCATAAACTCTCTCTCAAAGTTCTCTGTAAAATTAGGGTGTCAAGCTATATGTAGTTCTTGTTCATGAGTTCTTAATGAGTGTTAATATTTGTTATAAAAGAGTAGAATAGGATATTTGTACTGAGGATTTCTGTTTGTAAGTACATGAAAATAATCTGGTTCTTTGATTCAAGAAGAACTGATTATGTTAGAAGTGTGTTATTGAGTTTCTTTATATGGTATCAGAGTGAGGTTGCTCAATTCGTCTTATTAACTGAATATCAAGGTAGAGTTTGATCTCTTCCTTCCTTTTCTATTTTCTTGTTTGACCGTGATTCCTTGTAGATCTGACTCTTTTGAGTCGATCTAGATTTCTTGTGTATATTTCCCAAAAGATCTGACATTTGTCCAGATCTAGGGTTTAGTTGTTGTAAATTTGCTAGATTGACTTATGTGTGCCCCTTCTTCGCTCCTTGGTTTCCTCTTAAGTTCTTGTTATTGCGAGTGGATTATGTTTTTTTTAAGGACTGAAGATTTCACTCTTAAGAATCTGTCTTCTTGTTACAAAACAATGCTTCCTTGAGACTAATTAATCTCGTAGAATTTCGATTAACTCTATTAGGGAACATACCTTAGTCTCATTAACTATAATAGGGGAATGGATAAGAGAGTCGACCCGCTCCTTAGTTTTGCGGCTAAAAGCCCTAAATGAGATGGTATCTTCAATAGTTTCTAAAAGATCTCTATGAGGATTTCTTGTTCCCTTCTTTCTCTTTCTTGGATTTAGTCCTAGGAAAACCTAGATTTCTTGAGTACACCACTTATTTTTCGTTTGTGTAACGTCCCAAAATATAAGGTAAAAATTTCATTTCTATATAAACCAAGTCATAAATTCATTACTTCCAAAGGATAATCAGAGTGACAAAGGCGTTTTAAAATAACATCAAAGTGAATAAAATCATAAGTGCAAAATCTCCGGTAGATGCAATGCAATCATGCATGGCCCTTTCCCTTGGAACCAGAAGTGTCTAAAACATTTAAAAATAAAACTGTAAGCACAAAGCTTAGTGAGTTTCCCTAAAATACCACATATCAAACATAACAAATATAACGTGTGAATGTTGTGGTCCTCCCACGGTATTACAATCACTCTCTGTTGTAATTCTCCTACAGTCTTTCGTACAACTACCATGGTCCTCCCATGGTATTTCATACAAGTTTCGTGGTCCTCCCGTGGTCTTTCATGCTAAAGTCACAAAGAGAGTCTAGCAACTTACATAGTATACTGAGAAGACTCGCCTCGTAAATACAGTCGACAACTAAACAGCTCATACATTCAAGAAGGGGGTTCTACACAACTCCTAACAAATCATACACGAAAACTCTCAGTCTACCTAATGAAAGTAGTCATTTGACTAAAAGTCAAACCATTCCCAAAGTCAATGGCGAAGATCAATGGTCAAAGTCAACTCTAACCGCCTTCCACATCATAGCCAACCAAAGGCCATGCCATGGCTACCTTACTTTATCCCGATCAAAATGCATTACCATGTCATGGTATAGTCTAGACAAAACGGTCGCGACCCAAACCAGAAATCATTAGCATGTCATAGTACAGTCCATACAAAACGGTCACGACCCAAACCAGACTCCATGCCTTGGCAGGCAAATCGCCTCACCGTGGAAACAATAAAAAGAAAGCTTAACAGATTTAACTCTAAATCTGCTAAGCCTTCAATTCAAACCTTCTAGAATGCTTCTTGGGACCTTAAGGGAACAGAAAAATACATGCTTTATGGACATGCATGCCCATGAATGTTCCTCATACAACTAGGTCAAAATATGAGGAAATGACACAAAACTTCATCAGCCTCTTTCGTCCCAAAGCAATTCCCACGAAACCCTAGCCCCTTTTTAGAGAGTATTGAGCCTTTTTTGTGTTTTGCTGTGTTTTTGGTACATATTGAAGAAAAAAGAACCCATTGGAGTAGCACTTGTTGATTTGAAGCTTGTGGATCAAGAATCTATTCACCTTAATCATCCTCTTGGAGGTATAAAGTCTCAACCTTATTGAATCATCTCTTAGATCTAGTTAGTTAGGGTTTTTGGCATATTTTGGTCCTTTAAATTGATTCATGTGAGTATAAGCTACTCCAGAAGATTAGGATAGTAGATCTTGATGTTTTATACATAAAAATGGCATCTTGATGGCTTTAACTCAACCATGCAAGAGTTGATGTTATGTTATGGAGTTAGAAGGTTAGAAATTAGTATTGGGCCTCCTTGGGCCATGCAAAGGCATCAAGTTGATGACTTTATCATTTAAGACGTTTCCCAAGAGCAAGATCTGTGATTTGGACTTTTGGACTTAATACATTAAGTGTTAAATGTGATTTTTGGCCATCAGGAGAGTACGCAGGGAGTATAAATGAGTATGTCGAGCGTACTTTGTTCAGCCCCATTTTCCCCTTGCTTTTAGAGCTTGTATGCGGAGCATAGCAGGGGTGGTACGCTTAATGTACTCATTGAAGGACCTTTGGGTCATTATTTGGGCCTTGGGGTTAGTTTGGGCCATTTTGGACCTTGGGGATGGTTTGGGCCATGACTTGTTGGGCCTAAGTTAGGAAGGGTAAGGTCTTTTACCCTTTGTGAGAGGGATTATGATTTGGGCTTTTAGTTGTGGTTTATTACCCTAAATAGTGATT